CTTTTCCTTCTATAAATAATTTTAAGTACCAATTATAGACACTATGCTGTGTTAAGCACTATAGTTAACAATATGAATAAAATCTGATTCCGGTCCTGAAGATGCTAGTGTAGTAAAATTAAATATGTACAACTGGTTTTAATTCAATGTGTTAAATATCCCCAATATGTTAAAAATCCCTAGTGGAAGTTTGCTGGATGAATGGATGAATGAATGAATGAATAAAAAAGCCCAGCTTATTAAAAGACTCATCTAGAACTTAGAAATGATTTTTACATATCATACCTAATTGGATACTCAGGTCAGCACTTTAAAATAAATATACAAAAAGTAGCATTATTCTTTTTTTATGAAATAGGCAAATGAGTCCCAAAAGTAGTTAGTTAACTAGCCCAGGTCACACTACTCACATGTAAAGAAGCTGCAACTTTAACTCAGGCCTCCTGATGGCTTAAAAATCTACACTCTGTGCTTCTTTAAAAAAAAAAAAGATTTTTCTATTACATAACTAGTGACAGCTGCTAACTTTAACATAGCACCTTACTAGCTATAAAACATGTTCTTAGCACCATCCTCCTCCTTTATCAAACATATCTAAAAAAATAAAAATAAATGACACAGCCGAATAGCTTCATTAGACATGAAATTAAAGCTCTCTACATAGTATGAAAGTGCTGATTACAGTGTTATGTTATTTTTTCTCTTTTCCTTCTTAGTTTGATCTGGCAAATCAATAGCAAAGTTGTCAAAACAAACCTAAATGTACCATTTTAGGATATCGACTTACCAACTGCACCTGCAGAGCTCTTAGCTATGGGGGTATGTCTTACAATGACACATCACTTTGAAGGATGCTTCTGTTATCTCTTATTTACAGTCAAAATTAAATGGGTCACAGTGATTACAAACACATCTTCTAATTCTTCATTTGGGCCATCCATTTTATAACGCACTTGTCTGAAACCAAAGAATATACCCAACTGTGCCTGGCAATCTTAAAATTAAGTAATTGGACAGATAAGGGCATATGCCACACTAGATAATGTTCTTTCAATCAGTATAATGAGGCACAGGAGCAACCTTTCCATCAAATGCGAACCAGCCTTTATCCCACATAACATATGCTGGAATCTCTTAGAGAGTTGTTATAATGGTATGTGACGAGACAAACATCCCCCTGTTTCAGAAAGCATTTTTATTTTTTTGTAAGGATAAAAAATGTAAATTTCCAATTTTATGAATATTCAATTTTTCAAAAACAGGATGAAATGAAAAACAGAAATTAAAGAGAAAGTCTGTTGGATTGTATTGTGTTAAATATATAAATTATTCCTTTAAGATGATTAAAATTACATGAAATTATATGATCCTCTTTTATGTTAATAAAAATGGAAATATATTGCCAAAAGAGGTGATCAATATTTTCTTATAAGCATATTAAAGCTTAAAATGAGCATTAATGGCATAATAAAAATTTTATTCAGAGAATATTATGCACTAGACAGCACTAACTTTGCTTTCCTTACATGTTTTTAATCATAAAAAAATTCATAAGATAAATAATTTCCACTTAGAGATGAGAAACCTGAGGCTCAGAGAGGTTAAGTAACATGCCTCTAATCACAGAGTTTTAAATGATAGAACCGGTATTCTACTAAAGGATCACTGTCCCAGAGCTTTAATACTGCATATTGCCCTCCTAGAAAATTATTTAGGAATGAAGCTTTCAGAATTGCAAAGCCCTGAATTTGAATCCTAGCTCTGCTTCACATTAACCAAGTGTAATCTTGACTTCTTTGTCTGTAAAATTAGGATAAATAATACCAGTTGCATAAAGTTATTGTGGGAATTAAGTGGAGCAATGCAAGTAGAGAGTTTAGCACTCTGTGATAACATACAGCAAGTGCATAAATGATAGTAGCCATAAAACTTGAATAATAAAGGATCCAACAATATTTTCTTATGAAAGATTAACAAATGTATTAGAGGTTATAGGATTTATTTTTTCACAATTGAAAGGAAGGCATCATCTAATTATATCACGATTGGGCCAAATCTTGCATTGTGAATAAGACAGTTATCACTTCATATGTTTGTTTTGTGTCTGAAGGCTTTTAAGAGAAGTTATTTTCCAAGTACACTAGAGAGAGAATTAATTCCTTAACAAAATACCATTTGAGCAAACATGTTAGAGGTCATGCTTAATGAAGGTGATGCCAAAAATTGTTAGTTGAAAGTAACAACCTTACCAAAATTTTAGTTTTGATATCACTAAAACAAAATTTTCCCAGCATTTCTAAAGATAAGAAGACATGAAGGTTGGAAAGTCTTCAGAGTTACATACAAACTACAGGTAGCAAGCACATTAAAAAGTATTCTTATCTTCTAAATATGATACTAAATATACATTATATTTATAGATTCACAGATGAAAGAATCAGATTGAATCTTTCTTCCTGAAACATGTTTTGCTGTTGTTGTTCTTAAAAACATATTTAATTTAATCAAATATACACTGAGATTAAAAAAATATCCAAGTTCTTATAATTCTGTCCAGACAATCAACCGAAGTATACTAAAGCAATCATTTTTGAAATAAATAATACATAATTTTTTGGTAACAGAGTTCCTACAATTTTTTGGTAACAGAGTTCCTACAATTTTTTGGTAACAGAGGGGAGGGCCTACTCCTATCATCAATGCCAGAGAAAGTATCTTCCCTCCCCATGAACAATGTTGTTTTTGGATCAGAATTAATTCATATTATACTAGTCAACAGATCACAGAAAATTAATCAAACTCAATGAGATAAAAAAGGCCTATATCTGAGATAAGCATGTTATAGTTTTTAACTGAAATAAGTTTGCTTAGATCAATTTAATCATTTGATATTTTTGCAATTTTATTTTGAAAATGAATACTTGTTATATCAAAGCAAGTGCATGATCTCTTAGCATGAATTATGTGGTTGAAACCACCAGTCAGATAATGTGCCAGTTCCTTTTTATTTTTGTTTTTCAAGAAAGGGCAACTGTGTTCAGTCCATCACACAGAAACTTCTATTACAAACATAGGAGGCTCTAGGGAATAATCAAAACCAAACAAACACAAGGATCCTGGCTATGTGGTATCTGTGTTCTCTAAAGCTGCAACATATATTACCTCCGTATCCTAATGAGATTTCTGCGACGCAGAGAAAAAGGAACAATTGTGTTCATTTCACAGGTGGATATACTAAACAATAAATGGTGTTTAAGTCATATCTTGCTCTGTAACTGAGAATGAAATATGAGCTTCTACTAGAATGCAAAAATAAAGGTTCATATAAATGGCTGCATGTTTAGGAGTCCTGGTTGAGAAAACACCTTTAAGAGAGAAAGTTGAATGTATCAGGTCTGTGTTTGAATTCTGAATCTTTCAAGTAGTTATATTAACCTAGGTAAACTGTTTAGTGTTTCTGAGTCTACTGCCTATTAATGAGCCTTGGATTGTAATACCTACCTCAAAATATTATTGTGAGGATTAACTGAAAGGTATCTGAAAATGCTCAGCACAGATCAGTATTTTAGTGTTTCTGTTCTTCCTTTATTACAGAATCATCAGTTTTATCTGATAAATTACATGAAATTACATGAAACTTTAAGAGACCGTTTATTGATGGCAGTCTCTGTGAATAACTTGGCTTTAAAAACTAAAGACAGTACAATTCATAATTCTATTTAGAAGTTAGGCCAAGGAATTGACGTAGCCAGAAATGTGGATAAGTGATATTAAGATATCACAGCAGAATTTTAATGGCATTCTGTCATCCATTTAAAATATTTTTCCCCAAATAAAGCACTGAAGTTTGGCAAGGCGCAGTAAAAATAAACTCAGAGAGTCTACAAAACATTTTCTTTTTCATAGACAGGGAATAATAAAGAAGAGTTACTATTAGAATCAGAACAATATTTTTGCCTAGAAATTCAAGGGAGAATGAAAACAGAGTGGGGTATTTCTTGTATAAAAGGCTATTAAAATGGAGTTGGTATTCAGCATAAAAATGTGAACCTAAATTGGAATAATAGCCATGGTTGAGCTGTGATAAAAGAGCACATTTAGAGTGACACCTAATATTAAAAGAACACATTATAGCTATTTCTGAGATGCTCTGACTCCCCAGGTGGTATATATCCAAGAGAATCCATCACATTCCCTCCTTGCCAGGCTCACCCTGCTCCTCTGCCCATACCCTCCATCCACGTGGCTGTTCGGTTATCCATGTCTTTGAGAGATAAAACAAATTGTGAGCCTTCTAAATCATGGAATCTGCTTAACCATGACTCTGCCCGGTTAAGAGTCACAATTTACATTAAAGTTTATATTCTAAACACCAACTTCATTTAAGTGGTGTTCAGTGGATCATATAGTTGCCTCCATTTACCTCTTTTCCATTTATTATGTAAGAATATTCTAAAGCTTTATATTTTCTCTTTTGGTTTTTGACTGTCTTGACACAGAATGCACACACCTGTGTGAAATACATATACACACATTTTTTAGATAAATTACTTACCTCAGAGCATTATTTCCAAATACATTCAATTATATGCTAAAGTATCACTGAATTTATAAACGTTTTAAATTTTAAAAAGTTTCTTCTACATACCAGCACCATCTGTTTTAATTTTGCTTGATGGTATACTGGGCTCTCCTATACCCAATGTATTGGTTGCTAGCACACGAAATTCATATTCCATCCACGGGATTAAATCCACTGCTCTTGCTGCCTCCATATTTCCTTCAATAATCGAAGGATCTAAATAAAATAAATATTGAATAGAGAATATTAGTTGAGTAACATCATTCTTATAATTCTCTCTTTTTATTTTACTGTTTTGAGAAAATGGCACATGTTCCATTGAGTTGAAATAAAAATAAAAAGTAGGACTGACAAAATGTTAAGTTCAAGGGAGTGAGAGGAGAGGTCCTTAATAGATAACACGTTAGAAAGAGAGATATGCACATGGATCATTTATTTATTTAGTACAGGATGGGAGCACTGAGATTCTGCATTTCTAACCGGCTCCCAGCTCTTGCTTCTGCTGCTCGTCCACTGTCTACAACCCGAACAGTGAGGGGCTGTATTCTGAAGACAGAATCCAGAAAGATTTCTTGAGGCAAAGGTACAACTTGTGCAGTTAAAATTTTTATGGACTGCCACTGATGTAGTGTATGGGTAGTGAATGATTTATTACTAGGGTACCTGTATGTTTATACTCTTTTGTAGTTAGATTTTTAGATTTATACCCAAATCCTTTGGGGCACTGATAATAAAGGTTATAATAATTCATTCAGATTTATTAAGTATTTCTCAGAATTGATGCTACTAGATACTAACAGGAAAATTATAACTTAGGGGTAAGATATGTTCAAGATTGCTTATTTAATTGAGGTATGATAAAACGTACAGCCAAGGCAGGTTTATTATACATTATTTTAAGCTCCCCTAAAATATTCTCACATGTGTTTTTAATAATTAACCTACACATACATATGCATGTAAATACCTGTACATCACTTATTAGAAAATGTGTTCCCTTAGGCTTATAGATGACTCATTATCTTATTACTTAAGGAATTTTTATCTGGCACTGCAGACCATGAATAAATAGCTTTTTAAGATGTTGTACCCATCATCACAATAAATGTTAAGCATCCCAGTGCCCAGTTTCTACTTTTAGACAAATTCCTAATGGCTCAGACTATCCCATGTCTCACACTGTCATGTGTGGACCGTGGGGCATAACTCTCCTAGACACTAATTTTGCCATCCAGTCTCTTACTTTGTTAAGAATTTGTTTTATATATTTGACATATATTTTTGACTTTCTGATTAAAAGTTTGGCTTTCCTTCTCCTCTGTTTTAATTCTGCCTCTTTATCTCCTGTTTTCTCTACCCCTTCCTCACACCAAATTGGGATTTGTTTGTCTTACTTCGTGTACATAGGAAGTTATTTTAGGTAATTGGAAGAGGGAAGATGAAATTTTGATTTGCGAAGGACTCTTCATGGAGAAAAGGAAAACACAGAGCTGGTTGTTATGACACTGGGTAGAGTGGCCTCCTTCTTCACTAGATGCCTTTTTATGATTTTGAGCCTCCTATAGAAGGAGTCATTGTAGTGGGTTGAATGGTGACTCCCCCCACACAAGGGATATGTCTATGTTCAAATCACCAGAACCTATGAATGTGACCTTATTTGGAAAAAGGGTCTTGTAGACCATTTTAATTTTAAGACAAATTAAGTTAAGAATCTTTGGATAAAATATCCTGGATTATCTAGATGGGCCCTAAATCCAATGACAAGTGTCCTTATAAAAGAAACATAGCAAAGAGACATATAGAAGAGTGAAATGTGACCACAAAGGCAGAAATTGAAGTGATGCAGCCACAAGCCAAGGAGTATTTGGAGCCTCTGGAAGCTAGAAGAGGCAAGGAATGGGTTGTTCCCTGAGATCCTTGGAGAAGGTGCAGCCCTTTCAACACCTTAGTTTTGTACTTCTGTTGTTTCAAATCATCAGATCTGTGGTCATGTGTTATGACAGACATAGGGAATTAATACAGAGGTTTAGAGGCTGAAGCTGATGGAAATATTTGTGAGTTTGTGAGTCCGGGGTGTCCAAGTAAAAAAATATAAAAGAAGGGTCAAGGAGGCAGTCTGATCCTCTCTTCTGCTTCTTATGCTGCAAAACCCCAGCACCATTTAAATGCTTGAAGAATGGAAATGCGGGAACCATTCTAAAGGGTCGCTCTTGGCAAGGGCACGGTGTTCTCATGATGGTAAAGGCTACCCTTGGGCTTTTCCAAGCATCTGGGCAGTCAACAAGTAGGGGCAGGTGAACGCTGGGTCAGACAGGAAGAGCCAGATGGATGTGCAGTGAAAACTGCACCTGACAGACTGATTCTGAGCATGTATGAGGATCCAGTATGAAAATATCTCCAAACAAATGGAAGATCAGGAATATGTTCAAAGAGTAACACACTTTACTACAGAAAACATTTGGAAGAATGGGGAGAGATAAAGAAAGAAAAGTCAACTGGAGTCATTTTAGGGTAGGTTTTAGATTCCAGATGAGGAGAAAGGCCTGTGAATAAATGAAGTCTGAGATGAAGAAAGGAAGAAGAATAAGCAGAAAGCCTTGGAGTTACAACCATGAGAAGACAGACCTCAGTGGGAAACCCTTGACCCAGTGATGCAAACAACTTTCAAAAGGGGAAGCTGGAAGTGTATGTTAGGAAGATGGACTTCCAGAATATACCTTCTGAATGATTAAGGAAAGAATTTGATATCTATAAGTTAATAATGTAGTCTACAAGGATAGCTTACAGTTGTGAACACCTCTCTTTTTAGAACAAAACCAACTATGATCATTCTTGTTAATACACATTAACATCAGTATTTATGAGAAGATAAGTATCTAAAACAAATAAGTTTTTGGCATATCTTTATAATGCCCCCTCTATAAAACCATTTATATAAGTAATAGGGCTAACTTAGCAAACAATGGCTAATGCCAATCATTTTATAAAAATGTATTTAGAATTAAAAATGGCTCGGTATCTGGCCTGCTTTCCTTCCCCAGAGGGAGACAGGACTTTGGATGCATACCACATCATAAGAACAGGGTTTAAACGTTTGCTTTCTAACTTTTTTCCAGTCCAATCTTGAGCTCGGTAGCCCATATCACCACTTTACAACTTGAACTTCGAGACCGGCTATACCATACCAGGCCACACCTATAATATGTCTCTATGTTCCCCCTTGTTTGTTCCTGGTTATTATTTATGGACATACATATGTTTCTTTTACTTCTTATTCATGTTTGGGAACCACTCAGTGCCTGGTACACCTAGAATGATGTGTTCTTTTTGTTGTTGTTGTTTTGTTTTTTTTGCGGTACGCGGGCCTCTCACTGTTGTAGCCTCTCCCGTTGCGGAGCACAGGCTCAGGACGTGCAGGCTCAGCGGCCATGGCTCACGGGCCCAGCCGCTCCGCGGCATGTGGGATCTTTCCCGGACTGGGGCACGAACCTGTGTCCCCTGCATCGGCAGGCGGACTCTCAACCACTGCGCCACCAGGGAAGACCTAGAATGATGTTTTGTAAGTAGAAGTACTTAATAAATATTTGTAGAAAATACAAATAAACTACAAATACAAAAGTTGTGCTTATTTAGAATCGACAATGTCTTAATGCAAGAAGCACAACCGTGTGTATAACTTTATTGTCTCCTTCAACCTGAATCAGGCAGGCAACTTGTAGAAGAAAAGAGGGCACTCTGTTACCTTGTCCCACTACAAAATATCCATGCTCTATGGCTCTTATGCCTGTATTTAGCTCATAAATCATCCTGCCCTGTCTAAAGCAGAGGGTAGACCTCATCTCCATCTTCTTAAGCTCTCTCCCACCCTCTTTAACTCTGAGTTGATCCTTTTCAATTTCTCTCCTCCACTGCTACTGTGTTTTACCTCTAGTACACATTTTTATTTATTTTATTCTGAGCCTTAAATGTCCCTATAAAAGGATTTGTACCTTCTCCAACCCCTTCAGCCCTGGTAGGAACTATTGGATGGATTTTATTTTTCCAAAACCACCCACATAGATAGGTTGGAAGCAAAGGTCATCTTTGCTTTGGAAAGAGATTCTTGCTCCAAGCCAAATGCACAATAATCAGGAGCAGAGGGACTTTGTGTTCCCTCTCTTCAGCCAAGTTCCTTGCAACCTGTTTGCTATTCCTGGAGTCAGAAAGAGAGGAGAGTACTTGGCAAAATAGAGGCAAGTACCAGGAATCAGGACTGTGGTCTCAAGTTCCTGAGTTTTAACTGGGTCATTTCTGAGTCAGGCCACTTTTTACAGACAATTTCAGTTTTGGAAATCAGATTTTAACTGTATAAAGGCTGTCAGAGGCTTCTTTCTATAAAAAAACTAAAATGTTGTATATTAACCTGGTAGCTATGTAAATCTTGGTTTTACTTCTAAGTGTAAATTTCAAACAAAGGGATACAGAATAAGAGACATACTCCTTACTTTAATATTCAGGTCAAAAGACCCCCTTTAGAAGGTTTTATTTTGATAACCAGCCATGAGCACTAATCTACAGATCTATTTTCAAATACCTTTAGTCCATAAGCCTCAGAATAAAAAAAATTCTGACTATTCTTTGGAGGAAAAGAGAAGCAAGCCTCATGGGTATCCCAAGGCCAATAGTCACAACTGCCTGGCAACCATGCTTTGTGGTGCTCTGCCTTCAGACCACAACAACTAGTTCCCTGAGCAGCTTCAGAACTAGGCACAATGACCTCCAGACTAAAAAGCAGATGTTTCAAAAATAACTCCAGGCAATATAATCACACCTGTTCTAGATTCTTGGAAGTTGCCATAGTGAGTTCTGCTATTTCCTCGGGGTTTAAATACAGTTTGAACCCTTAGAATCCTCCATCTAAATCTAAAACCCAAGTATTTGAAACTATCCAGAAAGAATTACCCACTTGGGGATCTAGCTGAAAAAGTTGGTCCATTGTTTCAGAATGAAAATGGACAATTAAAGGCCTCTCTCTGGCTCTGACACAACTACTCAGTGTGATGTTAGAGGCTCTAGACCCAACGTGTAGATCATCTGGCAGGACTCAGAGAAGAGCCAGAGGTGTGACAATGTTCCTTGCAGAGAAAGAGAATTGGATTGTTCTCTGAATTCCCAGAAAATGTGATTCATTGTTTCTTCTCTATGGAAAGTTTGCATGCTGCCTCATAAAAACCCAG